TCACTTCTTAAAATGAGTCTGCTCCTTAAAATATATATTAATTAAATAATAAAATAATTATTAGTTGACTTCGGCATTGACCGTTGACTTTCGGCGTTGACTGTTGACTTCCGGCATTAACTTCTGGCGAAAATCGTTGAATTCCGGCGTCGACCATTGACTTCCAGCGTTGACATGTTGCCCTCGGTATGCAATATGTATGAAGTAAATATGCATCCAGTACCATACATTCAATATGAACTAAATATGCATGGGATGTGCATTACACATGCAGTTCTTATGAACTAAATATGCACCAATAATATCTACTAAGTATGCACCTGTTATTAACTAAATATGCATCTGTTATGAACTAAATATGCATCATGAATGAACTAAATATACAACAAAAAATATGCAATAAAATGTACATTTTATATAGGTAATTTATGATGCATATTTAGTTAATTTATTATGAATATTTAAGTAATTTATGATGCATATTTAGTTAATACGAAATGCATACTTGTTATATTTAAATTAAATATATAATGATGTTTATATAATTAATTTATGATGCATATTTACATAATTCATGATACATATTTAGTTCTTACGAAATGCATATTTAGTTCAGGAACAGTGCATACCTATTTTATTTGAGATCCAATCATAACAATTTATTTGTGTTATTAATCAATTTAAAATTAATATTAATTATATAAAATGTATATTTTATTGCATATTTTTGTTGCATATTTAGTTCATTCATGATGCATATTTAGGTAGTAATATATGCATATTTAGTACATAAACAGTGCATACATAATTGATATTATTGGTGCATATTTAGTTCATAAGGATAACATATATAATTCATTTCTTATGCATATTTAGTTCATACTAAGTGCATAGTACTATATGCATATTTACTTCATACACAATGCATACTTAGGGTTAACGGTCAATGCTGAAGTCAACGCCGGAAGTCAACGATTTTCGCCGGAAGTCAACGGTTAACGTTAGAGTTGATCCGCCGTGGGAACAAGCTCGTCAAGAAAATCTGGAGAATTGCAGAACGCCTCGACCACAGCCTCGCGGTAGTGCTCGAGAAAAACTACCCCGGTCGGGGACTTCAAGA